CTGATACATAGATATTTGTCCCATTATTCTGTGCTATGTTGCCTTTACAATACTTATAGAACACTGGTAGACTGGAGGTATAGTTTATGGGTTCTGTCTGATTTCCACTTTCTCCACAAGACCTGGGAGCTCTTAATTGGATCAAAACTGAAGTTTAGAAGGGGAACCTACTAAAGGGTGTCAAAAACTAGATACTTAAAAATAAGGAGAGGCTGATGACATGCCGATAACCTTTGCAAAATAAAAGAAAAGAAAAATTTAGGGAATTCTAAAACATTCCTAAAATATAATCAGTGGCAATGTCTTCTGAGGGTGGAAGATGTCCCTGGAACGTTGAGGTCACAGTAAGGGATGAGCAGAAAGAATGCTGCTTAAGTACTGGAGCAAAGATATAAGAAAACATTAAGAAGTTGGTGAACAATTAATTTTTTTGTCTACTATAAGGTGTATACAACTTGAAAAAAAATTTAATCATTTTATTGGGGGCTCATACAACTCATCACAATCCATCCATCCATCCATTGGGTCGAGCACATTTGTAGATAACCTTGAAAATATTTTTAACTTCCACATTTAATTAGTAAACAAGTCCTATGGATTCTTCATTCAAATTGAGTTTCTTTTTTTATAGATTTTGAAATATTTTTTTTAATAATCATTTTATTAGGGGCTCATACAACTCATCACAATCCGTACATACATCACTTGTGTCCAGCACATTACCACATATGTTGACTTCGTCATTCTCACAACACCCACCCTCCACTCGAGCCCCTGGTGTCAGCTCCTAATTTTCCTCCTCCCTTCCCGCTTCCCCCTCCCCCTGAACCTTTGATAATTTATAAATTATTATTATTTTATCATATGGGGTGAACAATTAATTAAGGACCTCTCAGATGGCTCCACTCCGCTCTACTTTTTCATAACTCACCTCAATGCCCCCAAAAACAAACCCAATGCTAACTAGTCACATTCTGACTCAGAAAAAAACACTACAGGATAAAGTAGATTTGCCCAATGGACTTGCCCAGGATACACACCTTTATGGAAGCAGACTGTCAATCTTTTTCTTATAGAGAAGCTGAAAGATTCCAATGATGGACCTTTTGGCCAACAGCTCAGCACTTAACCAAGAAAGTGCTTACTTATTCTGACTCATAGAGACCTCATAGGACAGGGTAGGACTGCCCCTGTGGGTTTCTGAAGCTGTAATTCTTTAAGGGAGTAGAAAGCTCTGTCTTTCTCCCTACTCACCCCACTGCCGCCCCCCAGTAGGCCAAAAGACACAAATATCTTCCTTTATTCATATCATCAGCTAGGGGACTTCAGATTACCTGTGTGCCAGCACTAAAGAATGACATTCAGTTCTCCCCAGGAGGTTGGATGATAAAAATGGAAACACTGTATTGAGGAAGCACAGGAAACAGATAAAAAGAGGCAGGTTCCTGTGGAAAGTGATTGTCTCTGGAAAGACGGTCTGGTGTGCTGCTTACTGACCTCAGTAGGGTTCTTATGTGAGAGGTCACAGCTGGACTACCAATAGTCTCTGTGGCTCTTATGGGTTCAATTTCCAAAGGTCCTCGTTAGTCAAATTATTTTGCAAATCCTTAGGGAGTAAGTCTCCTGGAAGGAAGTGATTCGTGGTGACTGATTTGCTCTTCCTGAAAGGCCAGGATTATGCATCAGTATGCATTACTCTTGCTCTTATCCCTTCGGTCACTGTCAACTCAAAGTGACCCTAGACATAACAGAACAAAGCAGTGACCAGTCTGGTGCCATGCTAACACTGGTTATTATGTTTGAGCCCAATGTTGTAGCCACTGTGTCAATCGACCTCATCAAGGGTCTTCTGTGTTGCTTTCTACTTTACCACACACGATATTCATTTCCAACGGATGATCTTTCCCAATAATATGTCCAAAGTATGTGAGAGATATCTCGCCAATCCTTGTTTCTAAGGAGCATTCTATCTGTATTTCTTCCCTGACATATTTATGTATTCTCCTGGAATTTCACATTACTTTCAATATTGTTAGTCCACACAATAGTTCAAATGCACAACTTCCTCTGTGGTTTTCCTTATTTATTAACCGGCTTTTGCATTCATATGAGGCATTTGAAAATAGTACACCTTAGTCCTCAAAGTGACATCTTTGCACTTGATTACATTAGAGGTCTTATACAACAGATTTGTCGAATATATTTCATCCTTTGGATTCTTAAGTGCTGCATCCATGAGTGTTGATTCTAGATCCAAGCAAAATTAAATTATTTTCTCCCTTTAGCATGATGTGATCTATTGATCCACTTTTAAGGTTTTTTGTTTTCTTTTCTTTATATTTTGAGATATAATCCTACTGAAAGCTGAAGTTTTTAATTTTTTTCAACATTTTATTATTTTTGTCTTCCTTTATAAAAAAATTTAATAGGTTTAAAAA